GGGGATGGTCACGCTGCAATCCCTTCTCCTCCATTGTCCTCTCGGGATCTTGGGCACGCACGCACATGCGCCGGGCATGAGTTTTAAGCCACCGGGTCCGGAATGTGACCCGCATCGACTATGTGGGAGTCCAGCAACATAGCCATTACACTAACTGCTGGTTCCCTTAAATAAATTATTTAAAATTTTTTGACTGCAAGCAAGAGACCACCACCAGCAGGGTCCTGATGCTGCAGTTCTCTCCAGCCTTAATTCTGTCCCTGATCATGCATGACATCCTTGGGGAGGTATCTAGACTTGAACTGGTAATCTTGCCATGTGGGATTACCTTGCAGAACTTCGTGTTATAATAACGTCACACCACTACCTGGCCTCATTTGTTGTTAATTTTATGTAATTTGTGAAGAAAAGATATATATTGGGACCAGCAGTTAGCGCAGTGGCTATGTCGCTGGACTCCCATGTAGTCGACCGGGTTCTAGTCCCGGACCTGGTGGCTTAAACTCAACACTGGGCATGTGTGCGTGCGTGCCCAAGATCCCAAGAGGAGAATGGAAGAGAAGGGATTGTGGTGTAGCCATCCCTCTTGAGGGGGTGATTTCTCACTTTCTGTCTCTCTGTTTCTCTCGGTCTTTCTGGCAAGCACATGCGCCCTATAGGAAAAAACCTCTCAAAAAAAAAAAGAAAAAAAAGAAAAAGAAAAGATATATATTTAAATTCCTATTTGCCAAAGGGGGAAAAAGTCCATTCATCATTTTATTATAAAATAAACAAACTTAGCAAAGAATTTCTCTCTTCCAATTTCTGAAAAATATTTTTTTTTAGAATACATATTAGAGAGGAGGGGCTGGGAAAGGAATGACTCAATCTGATGCTTTTCTGTTTTTTAGTGTAAATGACTGAAGTCATTTAATATTGCTTACCTTGTTCAATACTTATTTTTCATCTCTACAGTAAAAAATACAGAGTATTTACAGCAAGCTGCTTTAGAAGAATATGGTCCAGAGCTTCATGTGGCTTTGAGAAGTCGAAGGGATGAATTACACTATTTAAGAAAACTTACTGAACTACTTTTTCCTTATATTTTGCCTCCTAAAGCAACAGACTGCAGGTATAAATAGAATATATCATAATATGTATGTACCATGCCACATTGCTATTTTTTAAAATTATTTTAAATTGACACATAATTTAGTATATTTACAGGGTGCTATTTTGCTATTGATTCTACTGTCAGTACACTTAGGTTAGCCTATGATGTGAACTGTTTTTTGTTAGGAAAAGATACTTTATCAGGCCTTAGGTTGCCCATTTAGATACTGAATAATCACAGTTGTGCTGCTTAGAATTTTTCCCTTGGAAACTGACCTTGGATATCAAAGGTTAATATTAATAAAATTGATTTTTTGAGAGCATTGTAATTTATTTCATTGATACACTTTTTAAAAAATATACATATTATGGGGAACCAGCAGTTAGCGTAATGGCTATGTGCTGGATTCCCACGTAGTCGACCGCGGTTCATGTCCCGGACCCGGTGGCTTAAAACTCACGCCGGGCACGTGTGCGTGCGTGCCCAAGATCCCGAGAGGAGAATGGAGGAGAAGGGATTGCGGCGTGACCATCCCCCCTGGGGGGTGATTTCTCGCTTTCTGTCTCTATGTCTCTCTCTGTCTGGTGAGCGCACACGCCCTATAGTGAAAATCTCTCCAAAAAAAAAAAAGAAAAGAAAAAAGAAAAAAAATATATACATATTATGACTCATAGAGAAACACTTTGAACAAGCTACACAGACTAGTTTGGTTTTTAAGGTACCCAGCTGGAGAGAATAATTACAGGTCATCTAGTCTGTTCTTATTGACCCTTATTCCCATAGGAGCTTGTTTAGATTATTTCATAAGATACCCTGCTACTCCTACCCTAATTGTCTTTAGAGGAGAAAACATGTCCTATTTACAGTGATGTACTTTATTTATTTTTTTAATAATTATTTTATTTAACTTTATTGATTGTAATTTGAGCTGAGAGGGACAGAGTAAGAGTGAGAGAGAAAAAGTTAGGAAGCAAGCCACCAGGTCCAGGACTTGAACCATGGTCGGCCATGTGAGAGTCCAGCGCCCTTAACCACAGCGCCACCTGCCAGCCCCAGTGGGGATGTACTTTAAGTATTACTCTGCTTTGTTTTTAAAAATATTTTTGATATTTTAAAATATTTCTATTATAGACTACTTTATAATAACTTAAAGATTTTAAGTGTATTATACTATTAAACATATTAGTATTAAACATTAACTTAAAAGTAGAAATACTTAAATATTTCTAGGCTGGAAGTATTTTCTAATGTCCCCAAAATTTCTTCTGCTAAGGCAATACTTATTTTTTTTCTTTTGTAGTATTTTCTTTTAGCCAGGTATCATCTCCAAGTCTTTGCTATGCAGTGTGGTCTGTGAAAGAGTTGCAGAAGCATTACCTGGGTGTTTGTTAGAAATGCAGAATCTTGGGGCCCATGCCAGATCTACTGAATTATATATAGTCTTTATTTTAACAAGATCCTTAGTAGTTCATTTTGAGAACTAACATACATTATTGAATATATCTATAAGTATTTTTTTTTTTTTCCCTAGGTCGCTGACTTTACTTATAAGAGAGATCCTGTCTGGTTCTGTGTTTCTTCCTTCCTTGGATTTCCTAGCAGATCCAGTAAGACTTTTTAAAAATTTTATTTTTAATAGTGGTAAAATACACTTAACATTTTAAATTCTTTTAAAATGGGGCAGGAGGAGAGAGAGGTACTTTTTACAGGATTTTTCCCTGTCACCATCTTCCTGTTCCAGACTCATTAGGTAGAATTACAGGCCTATTCCTGTACCAGCCTGTTTAGGTTAATTTGGCAACCAAACCTGGGTCCTCTAATATGGTCCCATCCTCATGCAGTAGCACCCTGCCTTTTATGCCACTGGGCCTTAAGAGTGTGTGTGTGTGTATACATATACATACATACATACATACATATACTTTTTGGGGGAGAGGTTGTTGCTATAGGGTGCATGCACTCGCCGGAAAGACAGAGAGATACAGATAGACAGAAAGCAAGAAATCACCTCCCAAGGGGACGGCCAAGCTGTAGTCCCTTCTCCATTCTCCTCGGTATCTTGGGCACTCATGCACACGTGCCCGGTGTGAGTTTAAGTCACCAGGTCTGAGACTCGAACCATGGTCAACTACATGGGAGTCCAGCGATGTAGCCATTACGCCAACTGCTGGTTTCTGCATACATATATTTTTTAAATTTAAAATTTGTTGTTTTTGTTGTTGTAGGATATCTGTGCTTTCTGGAGAGAGAGAGAGAGAAAGAGACTCTATGCTGTAATCCCTTTTTCTCCATTGAGAGAGAAAGAGAGATGCCATGCTATAATCACTTCTTCCCCATTTCTACCTCCTTTTGGGCTTTTGGACATATATATACATGCTCCTGGTGTGTTCTTTTTCTTTTAAATTGACATTCGACTTTAATGCTCAGAGCATCACTTTTTTTTAAATTATTTTATTTAACTTTATTTATTCATTCATTTATTTATTTCAGTTTGACTAGAGAGGGATAGAATGACAGAGAGAGAGAAAGCCACCAGGTCCAGGACTAGAACCACAGTTGGCCATGTGGGAGTCCAGCGCCCTTAACCACCAAGCCACCTGCTGGCCCCCCTGGTTTGTTTTTCAAGCTGCTGGGTACGGGACTTGGCTGTCAATCATATGGAATCCAGCACCTTAACCACTATGCTGCCTGCTAACTCATATATATTTTTATACATGTAAATATATATATATATATACACACACACACAGTTCAGTGGTATTAAATACATTCATATTAGATTATCAGGTGGTATAGAGATTAAGGCAGCTGGATTGCACATGGCTGACCAAGTAGTTTGAGTCCTGCATCTGGTAGCTCTTGAAAGTCACACCAGATGTGTGGGTGTGTGAGCCCAAAATCTCCAAAGGAGAATGGAAGAGAAGGGATCATGGTGTAGCTATTACCCTATAAGAGTGATTTCTCACCTTCCATCTTTTTCTGTCTCTACAGTGAGTGCACATACACTATACAAACTACTGAAAAATAAATTAATGTCACTGTGTAACAATTACCACTACCCGTCCCAGAACCCTTCAACTTATAAAACTAAAAGTCAGCACTCATTAAACAATAACTCCTCATTCCTTCCTCCATCTCTGCCAACTACTATTCTACTTCTGTTTGTATGAGTTTTGCTACTCTAGGTACCTCATGTAAGTGGACTCATACAGTATTTATCATCTTGAGACTGGCTTATTTCTTTTTTTTTTTTAAAGAATTATTTTATTTAACTTTATTGATTTATTTATTCATTTGTTTGTTTCAGTTTGAACAGAGAGGGACAGGGTGAGAGAGAAAGTGAGAAAGCAAGCTGCCAGGTCTGGGACTTAAACTGCAGTCAGCCATGTGGGAGTCCAGCATTTTTAACCACCACGCCACCTGCTGGCCGGAGACTGGCTTATTTCACTTGGCATGTCTTCAAGAGTCATCTCTGTTGTAGCTGGTGTCAGAATTTCTTTCCCTTCTTTTGTAACTGTCAGAAAACATGTGCACTTAAGAATGTTTACAAGAGATAAAGCTCCGTAAAGGGTTGTGGTCACACAGCAATCCTTTTTCTCTAGCTTGTCAGGATTTTGCATGTGTACACACATGCATACACCAGGTGTGCTTTTCAAGCCACTAGCACTAGAGTTTGAACTGAGGTTTTCCATATGAAATCTGGCACCCTATGCACCACATGTAACTACTGTGCTGTGGGCTTGTCTCAGAATTTCCTTCCTTTTCAAAACTGAGTAATATTCCATTTATGTATATACCATATTTTGCTTCTCCATTTATCCATTAGTGGATACTTGGGACGCTTCCACCTTTGGTCTGGAAAGATTTTGAAAAAACAGAAGTGTTTCATAAACATTTTAAACGCCAAAATCAGAATAGCTTTTCTATGCTCATTTTCATAAAGATTAAGAACTTGCTTTGTAGACTTTTTAAAAGTCCTTCTGTAATACATAAGTGCAGATCCTTTGCCACTGTTCCACTTGTTTTTTGAAAAATTTTTCTAGAAACTTTTACTTTATTAATTTTTATTTTTCAGTTTGATAAGAGAGACAGAGAGAGAGAAAGAAAGTGAGAAAGCAAGCCACCAGGGTTGGAACTCAAAATGTGGTAGGCCATGAAGAGTTCAGCATCTTCAACCACTGCACCACCTGCTGGCCCTGATTTTTCTAGCAACTTTTATAATATGACAAATACTGATAATTCTGGGAAGAATACAGTATAGAATTATTTTGACCTATGTTTTTATTTTTCATCAGGATACTGTGAATCATTTGCTTATTATCTTCATAGATGACAGCCCAGTGAGTATTGTACATGCAACTTCAGATTGTATTGAATTTAGGTTCTGTATGTCAAACTAAGGAAATTTTACTGAGTTAATCATTCTTTTTCTTCAAAGCCTGAAAAAGCAACTGAACCAGCTTCCCCTTTGGTTCCATTCTTGCAGAAATTTGCAGAACCTAGAAATAAAAAGCCGTCTGTAAGTATTTTAACCAATAACATTACACTTAATATAAACAATTTTAGAACACATTCATATAGCTTTAACTTACTCTTCTTTCTGTATTGTATTAAGGTGCTGAAATTAGAATTGAAGCAGATCAGAGAACAACAAGATCTTTTATTTCGTTTTATGAACTTTTTGAAACAAGAAGGAGCAGTGCATGTGTTGCAGTTTTGTCTGACTGTGGGTGAGGCTTACCAGTGTATTTTACTCAAGTCATTTCAAAAATTTTTAATGCATTTGAATATTTTGATCATACGTGATGTAGTCATCTGTCATTGTACCAAATTTAACTTCCTTGATACATTGTTAACTTCAATCAAATTCTAATTGCACAAAAAATATATTAAAAGGTCAATATATTGAAGACCTAATCGGTATCCCATATCAGTAGCACTTTGTTATGGTTTTTGTTAAGGATTATTTTGATTAAATAACCATAGATAAGTTATAAGCTCTGTAACATTGTGGATAACTGGATATATGTGAAACTTTATGGACTGTCTGAAAAGATTTTTTTTTTTAAAGTGTATTTAATCCTTTTAAAAATTGAGGAATAATTTGTACAGCGAAATAATTTATTTTATGATTTCTTATTTACATTTAACACATATCTTTATAACATACAATATAGTTTTTCAGAGCATGCATGCAGTGTATGGTAATCAAATCAGAGATATTAGCATGTAATTTTCAACAGAGAACTTTGCATTCTTTGGTCTGTTAAATGTCTTTTACCTGACGCCTCCCTCCCATTCTCTATCAACTCCATTCTATACAGTCTGTATACATTTTCTACACTTGCCCACTCTACTGTTTTATCTTTGAAACTTTCAATTACTGCCATAAAGTGCAGATATTTGGTATATAATTGAGCAGGGATATACAATGTCTGTCTTTAATAGTCTGACTTGTTAGGACCAGCAAATGACATAATGGTTATATCACTGGACTCCCACATGGTGGATCACTGTTTGAGTCCTGGACCTGTTGGCTTGAAACTCATTCTGGGTGCACGTGCGTGAGTGTGAGAGGAGAATGGAGGGGAAGGGATTGCTGTGTGGCCATCCACCCCTGGGGGGTGATTTTTCGCTTTCTATCTCAGCAAGTGCATGTGCCCTATAGCAAAAATCTCTCTCAAAAACAGAAAAATAGCCTGACTTGCTTTGCTTAGCATTAAATCTTCCATATTCATTCACTTTTTATCAAATAACAGAGTCTCATTGTTTTCTTTGGCTGAGTGGTGTTCCATAGTGTGTATGTGCCATATTTTTTTCAATCTAGTCATCTCTTCTTGGTCATTTCAGTTGATTTCATGTCTTAGCAATTGTGAATAATGTTTCAATACACATGGATGTGCAAGTGTCTTTACAACGGAATGTTTTCATATCCTTTGAGTGAATACTAAGGAGTAGGGTTACTGAATCACATGGTAGCTCTATTTGTAGGTTTTTGAGGAACCTCCATATTGTTTTCCACAGTGATTTTACTGATTTGCATTCCTACCAACAGTGTAGGTTTTCACAACTTCACCAGCATGTATCATTACTTTTTTGATTATAGCTATTCTGACTGGGGTTAAGTGATACCTCATTGTGGTTTTCATTTGCATTTCCCTTAAGATAAGCGATGTTAGACATTATTTTTTATAAGCTTTTGGGCCATCTGTATGTCTTTAGAGAATATCTGTTCAGCTCATTTGCCCGTTTTTTAATTGGATTATTCATCTTTATGCAGGTGAATTGCTTGAGTTCCCTATATATTCTGGTTATTAGTATCTTATCTGTAGCATAGTAAACAAATATTTTCTCCTACTCTGTGGGTTGTCTCTTTACTCTAATTATTGTTTTCTTTGTTGTATAGAAAATTTTTAGCTCGATGTAGTCCCATGTGTCTACTTTTAGAATTACTGCTTGTACTTTGGGAGTCTTATTTAAGAAATATTTGCCTACTCCAATATCTTCAAGTGTTTTCCCCCAGTAATTGTACAGTTTGAGAGTTTACGTTTAAATCTATTATCTATTTTGACTTGATTTTTATTAGTGATGAGAGACAGGGGTCCAGTTTCATTTTTCTAAAAGTAGATGTCCAGTTCTTCCAGTACCATTTCCTAAAAATACTTGCTTTCCCCCACTAAGTTGTCTTCTGGCCTTTGTCCAAAAACAGTTGGCTCTATGCAATAGGGTCTATTTCTGGATTCTCTATTTTGTTCCATTGATCTGTGTGTCAGTTTTTGTCCCAAACCATGCTGTTTTGATTATTACAGCTTTGTAATATATTTTGAAGTTGGGTAGTGAGATGCCTCCTACTTTATTATTTTTGCACAGTATTACCTTGGTGATATGGGGCCTTTTATGATTCCAGACAAATTTTATGATTGTTTGTTCTATTTCAGTGAAGAATGTCACTGGTAATTTGATTGGAATTGCATTGAATTTGTAAGATAACTTGAGTAAAATTGATGTTTTGATTATTGATTCTTTCAATCCAAGACCATGGGATGTTTTACCATTTTTTTGTGTCACTCTCAGTTTCTTTTTTCAGTATATCACATTACAGAAGGAAAGATAAAAATCATATGATTATATCATTGATATGCAGAAAGAGCATTTGATAAAATATAGCATCCTTCATTATTAAGACTCTCGGCAAAGTACATATAGAAGGGACAATTTTCAAAATAATAAAATCCATATATGACAAACCTGTCACTAAAATGATACTCAATGGGAAAAAGCTGGAAGTTTTCCCATTAAAACTGGAACTAGACAGGCTGCCCCACTTTCCTCACTCCTTTTCAGTAATGTGCTGGAAGTCCTAGCCAATAGAGTCAAGCAAGAGAGTAAAATAAAAATTTAAATAGGAAAAGAAGCAAGATTGTCTCTTTAGCAGATGACATAATTATATACACAGAAAGTCTAAAAGAATCCTTAAGAACTCTCCTAGAAGGAATAAATGAATTCAGTAAAGTGGCAGGGTACAAGATCAGTAAACACAAACTATACTGTTTTGATGCATCAGCAATGAGCTGACTGGGATTGAATTGAAGAAAGCAATCCCATTTGCAATTCACAAAAAAAGACAAAATAGTTTGGAATAAACCTAACCACAGAGGTGAAATAACTCTTTAAGGAAAAGTATGAAAAAACTGAAAAAAGAAATAGAGTATTAAATTAGAAATCAGTCATAATAAGACTGCTTCGAAACTCCCCAAATGTCTGGAAATTTAATAATTTTTAAATAAAATGAGTACTGGGAGAACTATATATCCATTTGGGGAAGTAAAAAGGAACCTTCTCTCCTACCTGAAACTAAAACAAATGTTGTTTCAAGATAGATCATAGTCTACAGCAAAATCTAAAAACCATAATATATATAAAGAAAAACATGAGAAAATGTCATCTCAACTCGGAGTAAGTAAGATTTTTATTGAAGTCACAAGAAGCATTAACCATAAAATTTAAAATTGAGGAATCAGCAGATGGCATAATGTTTATGTCATCGGACTCCCACATGGCTGACCATAGTTTGCGTTCTGAACTGGAGGCTTGACACTCAGACTGGACATGTGTGTGTGCATGGCTGCCAAAATCCTGAGAGGAGAATGGAGGAGAAGGGTTATGGTGTAGCCATCCCCTCTGGGGAGTGATTTCTCACTTTCCATATGTCTGGTGAGCTTATATGCCCTATAGCAAAAATCTCTCTTAAAAAAAAAAATTAAAAATTTAGTGGAGTTGAGAAAGTACCCCCATTGGGGTATGGTCATGCCCCATTCCCCTCTCTTCCAGTTCTTCATCCTTTCCATCCTTTCTGCATTCAGGGCATGCATACACATGTGTCTGGTGTGTCTTCCAAACTATCAGGTCTTGGACTCCTTGCACAGCTAGTCATAAGGGGGCCAGCCATTTTACCACCATGCACTGGCTGGTCTCGTGATGTGTAAGCATTGTTTTCTTTTCCACCTTTCCTGCATTTCTTTGCATTTCTTAGTATTTGTTTCTTAGTATTTTTTAGTATTCTATTTTATCTTTTCTATTGACTGTTTATATCCTGTTTTTTTTTCTTGTTTTTAGCGGTTCTTCAGATTACAATATATTAGGCTGTCAAAAAAGTCATGATGCATTTTTACACAGAAAAATATAGGAAAAAATGTGTCATAACTTTTCCAACAACTTAATATGTCTTTCACATATTTTTAAAATATTTTACTGCTTTAAAACAATATAAGAACCTCACTGGATCTTAGACTATCCCCTTCCTGCCTGTTGTGCTGCTGTTGTCATATATTTCAATGCTGCATACACTTTGAACCCCAAGTACATCCTTATTCTTCTTTTTTTTTTAATAATTTAATTTTTTCCCTTTGGAAAGGTTTATGAAATAGGGCGTGTGTGCTCACCAGAAAGAGAGACAGAGAGACAGAAAGTGAGAAATCACCCCCCGAGGGGATGGCCACACTGCAGTCCCTTCTCCTCCATTCTCTTCTTGGGATTTGGGCACACACACACGCACCCGGCATGAGTTTAAGCCCCACCGGGCCCGGGACTCGAACCACAGTTGGCTACATGGGAGTCCAGTGACATAGCCATTATGCCAACTGCTGTCCCTTTTCATTGTTTTCTAGATAGTCCCATTGCTTCTAATGAGAAATCAGCTTCTATTCACATGGTTGTTCTCCTCTTGCTTTTGTAATTTTCTGTTTTTACTTTTAGAAATTTTACTATAATGTTTACTTTTTATTTATTCTGCTTGGATTTTACTAAGATTCTTAGATTTGGCTTGATGTTTTTCTTCTGTTTTGGAGAGGATGCATGCGCTCTCCAGAGAGAGACAGAAAGCAAGAAATCACCGCCAGGGGAGATGGCCACACCACAATCCCTTCTCCTCTATTCGTGTCTCAGGATCTTGGGCATGCATGCGTATGTACCCGGCATGAGTTTAAGCCACCTGGTCCAGGACTTGAACCACGGTTGACTACATGAGAGTCCAGTGACCAGCCAATTGCTGGTCCCGTATTTCATCAGTTTCTAAAATTCTTGGTTGTCGTTGCGATCTCTTTACATATTCTGCTTCATTTTCTCATTTGTTTTCTGTGGAATCTTCAGTTATCCACCGTCATATCAGAAGAGAATTACAGTTATATTCTCTTTTCCCTCTTTTATTTATTTAATTTTTAAAAAGAATTTACATATTTTATTTATTAATATTATTTTTTAAATAATTATTTTATTTTTTTATTCATTTTTTAATTTGACCAGAGAGAGACAGAGGTTGAGAGTGAGAGAGAGGAAGTGAGAAAGCAAGCCACCAGATTCAGGACTCAAACCCTGGTCGGCCATGTGGGAGTGTCCAGCGCCTTAACCACCATGCCACCTGCTGGTCCCTATTAATATTATTTTTTAATTTGATGAGAGTGAGAGAAAGTGGGAAAACATGTTGCCAGGTCTGGGACCCAGACTACAGTTAGCCTTGTGGGAGTCTAGTCTGTCACCTGAATAGTTACTTTACTCCCAGTTAATTATTTTAATAAGCTTAAAAATGATGAATTAGTTTGCCTATAATTGCTGCTTTTAATATTGGCTGTAGTTAGAATGGGAATATGAAATTTTCATGAATAGTCTTATATGAACATAATGAATTTTTTCTTTATTTTCCCCTGACTCATTAGAGGAATTTAATGATAGAATTTTGCGACCAGAGTTATCAAATGATGAAATGCTGTCCCTTCATGAAGAGCTACAGAAGATTTACAAAACATATTGTTTGGATGAAAGTATTGACAAAATTAGATTTGATCCCTTCATTGTAGAAGAGATTCAAAGAAGTAAGTCAAAGATGATAACAAGAAAGAATTATATAGCTGTTATTGTTTTCAGAGTGTTTTCCCACATATTTTCTGTTTATTATTGCATTAGCTATGTAAGATATGTACGGGCAACTGTTATCCTAATTAGTAATGAGACAAAGGCTTTGAAAAAGAAACTTATTCTCAATTCACATAGCTAATATTTGTGAGAACCGAGAGTTTGGTGGTTCTAATCTCTCTTTTTTTTTACAATGACATTTTAAAATGTAGCTTTTGGGACCAGCAGTTAGCGTAATGGCTGTCGCTGGACTCCCATGTAGCCGACTGCGGTTTGAGTCCCAGACCCGGTGGCTTAAACTAACACCAGGCACGTGTGCGTGCATGCCCAAGACCCCGAGAGGAGAATGGAGGAAAAGGGATTGTGGCGTGGCCATCCCCCCGGGGGGGGGGTGTGATTTCTCACTTCTGTCTCTCTGTCTCTGTCTGTCTGGCAAGTGCATGCACCTTATAGCAAAAATCTCTCCAAAAAAAACCAAACAAACAAACAAAATGTAGCTTTCAGACTTTTTATGTTGTTTTTTTTTTTTTTTTTAAGAGGTTTTTGCTATAGGGCACATGCGCTCGCCAGACAGGCAGAGAGACAGAAAGCGAGAAATCATCCCCCAGGGGGATGGCCACGCCACAATCTCTTCTCCTCCATTCTCCTCTCGGGATCTTGGGGCACGCACGCACATGCGTCCGGCGTGAGTTTATGCCACCAGGTCCGGGACGTGAACCGCAGTCGACTACGTGGGAGTCCAGCGATATAGCCATTATGCTAACTGCTGGTCCCCCGACTTTTTATGGCTTTTCACTGTAATGAATTTTAAACTAAGATACAGTATAATGTATTTATACTGTTTGTAAATAATTTCTACAGTATAATTATTATTTTTTTTTAAATAGTTGCTGAAGGCCCATACATAGATGTTGTGAAACTTCAAACTATGAGATGTCTTTTTGAAGCCTATGAACATGTTCTTTCTCTCTTGGAGAATGTGTTTACCCCTATGTTCTGCCACAGTGATGAGGTAAGTCAAAATATTGACCTCATTTGAGAATTTTAGTACAAAATTTATTAGTGTCTCTGATATCATTAAATGTGTGATTTAAATAACAAAGTGAATTTGAAAAGAAAACAAGATCAAGAAAGTGAATGCTCTTTCCTTGTGAAACTTAATGGTGATTAGAAATGAGTTGTAGAAACAGTATCGATACCAAACCATATTTGTATTTCTGTGGCCAGGCAGATTGGGCCCAAATTGATCTACCCGATCTGCTATGTACCTGAGTGGCTTGTGGTATGCTAGTAATGCAAAAACCTCATTCTTCTTACACACACATTATTTACAGACCTGTGGAAACCAAGTGTCCTGAATTTCTCTGTGATATTTTAATACTTATGTTATTTGATTGGCTGTATTTATTTAATTTCAGTAGCCTTTTCTTTAAACTGGAAAGTAGTAAGGTAAAATGGCATGTTTTGAAGTCAAATATTAGTTTAATAAAATCATAATTACCAATAATCACCATTTTAAAGTATTTCAGACAACTTTTAAGAGGTGCAGAATCACCAACCCGCAATTCAAAATTCAACAGGTATGTATTTTCAACCAAATATATATGCCTTGTTTTTGAACTTGCTGGTGGTAATCGTTCTGTGATACTATCAGTCTGTTAGCTATTTGTTTGAGTAAATACGTAGTACCATTGCTACATGAGTAGTGAGACATGTCACTGAAAATACCTGAAATTCTTTCAGAATAGTTTAATGCAACTGTTGCCTTGCTGATCTCATAATTAATACATATTTATGCTTGCTTTACATGCTTCATAGAAACTGTATTCATATCTCTGGATTCATTGCAGTCCACAGATAACTGAGAATTTTAGATAGTACCTTTCTTTTTCCAGAGAAAACTTTTTATTAATGTAGTTCTTAGTTATAAATATAGAGAATTTTTTTCCCCTTTTCTTTCTGGTGCTCTGGAAATGGCAATGTGCAGTTAACCTTAAGAAAGATAACAGAGAACTGGCTTTGTATCCTAATGGTTGGGAGAGCTGGATTCTCCCATGGTCAACTGAGATTCAAGACCGGTCCCTGTGGCCTGAAGGACACCCACACACATGCATGTGCATGCCTACCCAAAATCTGATGGGATAGAGAGGTGGAAGAGAAGAGATTACAGTGTGACCTGCCTTTTTGGGGGGTTGCTTTCTATCTCCTTCTCTCTGCCTTTGGTGAGTGCATGTGTCTTCTGGAAATTAAAAAACAAAATATAAAAAAGGGCAAGGGTAACAGAGTGAAGTTATATACAGGATATTAATATCCTGATTGATCTTTGCAAGGTTATATGTGCAAAAATGACACAGACATCAAATCAGTACATTTATAGAATATTAACATTGTTTTTAACATTTTTCAGTTCAGACAAGTTTCTAATAAATTGGAGATTTGATACAAGAAAAGAAGTGGATAAGTCAGAAAATAGAACAACTTTTTAGCTAATACAAGAAAAATTATGAAAATCTTAGCCATGGGGAGACTATACTACATTTTTTGACATAATCAAGTGTTAGAGGAACAGATTTAAATTTTTTTGAATGTTGAATGCCTTGGTGAAAGAGGTATACCTGAATAACTTCTGAATGGTAGAAAATATATTTATGATTCTTTGGGACTAGCATTTGGTGTAATGGCTATGTCGCTGAACTCTCATGTAACCGACTGTGGTTAGGGTCCTGCGGTTTGGGTCCCAGACCCAGTGGGTTAAACTCATGCAGGGTGCATATGCGTGCCTTCCCAAGATCCCAAGAGGAGAATGGAGGAGAAGGGATTGCAGTGTGGCCATCCCCCCTTGGGGGTGATTTCTCGCTTTCTGTTTCTCTGTCACTCTCTGTCTTTCTGGTGAGTGCACATGCCCTATAGCAAAAACCTCTACAGAAAAAAGAAAATATATTTATGATTCTTTGTAGCAATAAAACTTTCTTTACTTAATTAGTTATAGCCTCAAAACAAGACTTTAATAAAAAATCACATCCGTGCTACTTAAAATAGCATTCTTTGCCTAAAACTTCAGAGCTTGAAAGCTTTCTCTCCCATTTGAAGAATACCTGTTTGCCCTCAGCATATTAAGGCACTAATTTTGCTGACTTTCAAATAGAAAAAAATACAGAAGGAAACACATTCTTTTTCTTTTAAATACTGCTTATGGCCGTTTAAACTTCGTTTTGTTTTATTGACCTGACTCTTAATATTAACTCTCAGTCTTATCAGAACTCTGCTCCTGTGATACTTAATGATTTACCTATATAGAAGTAAGAGTTTCTTAACCTTTTCATTGGAATTTTAGAGTAGCTTTACTAATTTGCTGTGAAATGACTTGAAATATGTAAAATATTTATAGCATGTTTTATGTCTACATTTTGCTTAATTGTATTTTAAAAGGGAAATTGTAAGTCATATTGTTAATCTTATTCACTATTTCGTTGTATACCCAAAACATAACTTTTCCCCCCAAATTTAAGGATTTTTGTTAACATTGCTTCTTAGCTTAAGACATACATTTATTTATCTATTTATTTAGGAGAAGTTTTTGCTATAGGGCACGTGTGCTCTCCAGAGAGAGAGAGACAGAGAAACAGAAAGTGAGAAATCATCCCCCAGCAGAGAAAGGCCATGCCACAATCCCTTCTCCTCCATTCTCCTCTTGGGATCCTGGGCACACATGCACACGTGCCCGGCGTGGGTTTAAGCCACTGGGTCCAGGATTCGAACCATGGTCAACTAGATGGGAGTCCAGCAACATGGCCATTACACCAACTGCTGGTCCCAGCTTAAAACATATTTTTTTAAATTCTCTAACTTAAAACATGGGACACACACGTGGTTATCTCTAATGTGGACATTAATTTCATATTGCAAAATATGGTTTTTTTTAGTTAGAATTTTTGGTAGTTTAAACAAATGCTATATCTAAGCACAAAATAATCCAGAATTATTTCCTAACATACTGAATTTTTAAGAACTTTTTCTAATAATGTAGACTTCATACTCCAAGTCTAAAATGCCATTTGCTTTTTTTTTTTTAACTTTCATCATGTTATTTATGAGATTTCTTCCCTTTGAAAAGATAAATGTTTCCCATCTATGTAACTTTCAAAACGTTTAAATTTATTTGATGTTTTAAAATGAAACTTGTTTAATAA